GGATAGTGCAGGGTATACTTAAGGAACAGCATGAAGATTCTACTGGTTGAAAAGGACAGTGTCTATAAACTAATTATTTAACTTAAAATTTTATTCTCAATATGCCCCAACAGCTCTTCCAATTATGCCCAACAGGGGAGGTCTTCTTAGGTTTAATTACACATTGACTTACAACTCTGCTGTAGACCACACTCGGCTATTGCCTCTGGTACAGCCCGGGAACCACGGACCACCATCAGCGGTGCACAAGTGCCCCTGGAGTCCGTGAGGCCGTCCACGCAGTGCTGCTAAGATTTAAAGAAGCAAGGAGTCCATCAGGTGATGTGGAATCTGTCCTGGCTTACAGGCCTCGCCCTCTGCAGGAGCTGGTCGCCCTCGTAACAGATTCATAGGTACAGCTTGCAGGTTTTCTATGAGGGACATGCCAGTTACTAACTAGAGTCAGAGCACAGGCAAGTCTGAAAATGTGACCTCCTGCCAGGGGTTGATGGTTCTCTCGGCACAGGTGCAGTGTACCGAACAGGGGCTCCCCCCCACGCGCAGCACGGCTTGATACACCAGGCTCAGCAAGTGGCCTGAGACGCAGGACTAGAAAGGTAACCACGGGTCAAATTCTCATGCCTAAAGGGAAAGGGTTTTGTTAACCCTCTACCCATCGTCCCCCAAGCCCACTCCAATTTCAGTGTTTTCCTCAAAAGTAACTCCTGTTAATAAATTTTCTAATAGTTGACATTAAATTGTATCAGTAAGCACTTAGTTCTTTGGTTTTTTTTAAAAAGTGTTTTTATTGATATTTTTTAGAGAGAGGGGAAGGAAGAGGGATAGAGAGAGAAACATCGATGAGAGAGGAGTATTGATCGGCTGCCTCCTGCATGCCCCCTACTGGGGGGTCGAGCCTGCAACCCTGGCCTGTGCCCTGACCCCGCGTCAAAATGGCAACCTCGTGGTGCTTGGGAGGGCGCTCAACCAACTGAGCCACACTGGCCAGGCTTTTTATTGTCATTTTAGAGTATACTCCGTCCACTTTTTAAAAAGGTTCGCTGTAAAAGTGCGCCATGTTATGCGGGCAGCAGCCTCATACGTTTTGCGTGCCTTTTCTGAGTTTAGATATGTTCAGATACCCACATACTCACCACTGTGCCACACTGCCCACAATCCCCAGCACAGTAGCGTGCTGTGCCGCTTGCAGCGTAGGAGCAATAGGCTATACCACACAGTCTAGGAGTGTGGTCGGCTATACCATCTAGGTTTGTGTAAGTACACTCTCTGATGTTTGTACGGTGACAAAAAACCCCTAACGATGCATTTCTCAGAAGGCATCCCCGTCGTTAGGCAACACATGACTGTATTTTAAAGCAAATCTCAGATTTCTAAACTCATTCGAGATTCAGAACTTTATGATTTCTGAGTTTCCCATTATACCTTAGAAAGTCTTTGCAACTCCAAACACAACATTTACTCATGTTTTTCCTAGCTGTACCTCATTTTATTTGGTTTCAATCTCAAGAGTTTTAAGTCTATTATTATTTAAAAAACAACAACAAAAAACAACTGAAGACATTGGGGGTAATTGAAGGAATATCTGGAATGTCTTGTACAAGAGATTTCAAATACCCATTCTTTAATATCCCATCTAACAGGACTTAACACCCGAATGCTCTTACCTGTTACTAAATGGCTAGCAAGATTCTTATCTCAATGTGTTTGTACTCATGCCGCCTGATGTTCATATTTGATGCAGTCTTAAATTACTCCAAGAAAAGAGATTTGAGAAGTATTTAGGCATGAGCTAACACTTTGAACATAAGAATTATCGAGGCAGAAAGGCTGTAGATTATTGGTCTGAGTCACATTGCTAGATGACTAACCCCTTAATCTCCTGTCTCCTACATGTAAAATACGCATAGCAGCACTACCTACCTACCACACTGTTCAGAAAAGTCAGACTACACTTTGATCTTCTTTAAAGAAGTGAGCTCCCTAATTAGCTGACTTTCCTTCACTTGTTCTTCGTCTTTCTCTCAGAAGTAATTCATCCTTGGTAAAGAAATATTCCCTTCCACTTCTATAAGAATGGGGAAACAGAAATCAAAACCTTGTATTTTTAAAGTTTGCTTTAAAATTCTAAACAAAACTTGTCATATGTTTTAAAAAATTTTTATTGAGATAAAATTCACATAGTAGTAAAACCATGTTTCAGGGTACAGTTCAGTGTTTTTAGTATATTCACAAGATTGTGCAATCATCGCCAATTCTAGAACATTTCATCACCCCAAGTGGAAATTCCCTTCACCCATCCCCTGGCAACCAGTAACCAAGTTTCTATTTTTATGAATTTGCTTAATCTGGGCATTTCATATAAATGAAATCATGTAACGTGCCTTTTGTCTGGCTTCATTCATGTTTGTATTCAAGGTTCATTCTGTTGTAGCAGAATCAGTACTTCTTTCTGGTTAAGTGACATTCCATTGTATGGCTATGCCCCATTTTATTTATCCATTCATCAGTTGGTGGATATTTGGGTTGTGTCCTTTTTGTGCCATAAACATTCATGTACAAGTTCTTGTGTAAATATGTTTTCATTTTGCTTAGGTACACACCTAAAAGTGGAATTGCTGGGTCATCAGGGTAACTAAGCTTAGCTTTTGAAGAATTGCCAAACTATTTTTCCAAGTAGTATACAGTCCCACCAGCAACATGAAGGTTCTGATTTCTCCACATCCTCACCAACTTATTTTTGTTTTACAATTATAGCCATCCTGCCCTGGCCGGTGTGGCTGTTGGTTGGGTGTCGTCCAGTGCACTGAAAGGTTGCCGGTTTAATCCCCGGTCAGGGCCCACGCCCCGGCTGTGGGCTTGACCCCCGGTTGGGGGTGTGCAGGGGGCAGCCTACGGACATTTCACTCTCACATTGGTGTTTCTCTCTCTCACTCTTCCTTCCTCTCTAAAAAAATCAATAAAACAATCTTTAACAAAAAATTATAGCCATTCTAGTGGGTATGAAGTCATATCTTACGTTTCTGGTTTGCATTTTCCTAATGACTAATCATGTTGAGCATCTCCTCATGTATTTATTTTCCATTTGTAGTTCTATTTACTTACTTACATATTTATTTTCCATTTGTATTTCTTTGGAAAAATGTCTATTCAATCATTTGCCCATTTTAAAATTGGTTGTCCTTACACAGAAACAGTGACCCTAAATGACACACTAGATCAGATGGATTTAATTGACATTTACAGAACATTTCATCCCAAAGCCGCAGAATATACATTCCTCTCAAGTGCACATGGGTCATTCTCAAAGACAGATCACATGTTAGGACACAAAACCAGTCTCTACAAGTTCAAGAAGATTGAATCATATCAAGCATCTCAGATCACAATAGCTTGAAATCAGAAATCAATTACAGTAAAAACATTTAAACACAGGGAGGCAAAATAGCATGTTATTAAACAATGAATGGGTTACCAATAAGATCAAGAAAGAAAAAAAAAATTCCTGGAAACAAATGAAAATGAACACACAACCCAAAATCTATGGGACACAGCGAAAGCAGTCCTAGGAGGGAAGTTCATGGCACTATAGCCCTACCTCAAAAAGCAAGAAACATTTTTAATGACCTACCTAACCCTACAACTTACAGAATTAGAAAGCTCCCTTGTGAAGCCATCCGGATCAGGGCTTTTGTTTGCTGGGAGTTTTTTTTATTGCTGCTTCAATTTCATCAGTTATTAGCCTATTCAGGTTTTCTGATTCTTCCTGATTGTTTTACATGATCTCACTCATAGGTGGAATCTAACAAAACAGACTGAGGAACAGACTAGATCCAGAGACATAGAAGCATGGAACAGACTGATAAATCTCAGTGGGAANGAGATTAATCGAAGAACTTATATGCATATATGCATAACACATGGACAAAGACAATAGGGTGGTGAAGTCCTGGGGGTAGGGATCAATGGGGGGAAAATGGGGATATCTGTAATACTTTCAACAATGAAGATAAATTTTTAAAGTCGGTTGTCTTTTTATTTTTCAATGTTTTATTGATTTGAGAGAGAGAGAAACATCAATCGGCTGCCTCCCGCTGGGGATGGAGGCTAAAACCTGGGCACGTGCCTTGACGGGGAATTGAGCTGGTGACCCTCTCAGTGCATGAGACAATGCTCAACCGAGCCACACCAGCCAAGGCAGTCTTTTTTTTTTATAGTTATAAGAGTTCTCTCTGCATACTCATGGGAGATCCTACTTAGATTAAAGCCAGCAGAGAAGTAAGAGCTGACAGGGTAAGAGTGAGCCATGATGACAGATTTTGAACTCATGTATCCACCAATGCATAAAGTCAGAAATGGGTATCTTCCCCCATTAGTTTTTCCGATCCATCCCCAGGCCCTACCTTATACTGTAGGCACTGGGATAAAAGGTAGAAGAAAGCTGAATGATGCCTGGCAAAATTAGAAGTGCTATCCCCAACCCCCAGGGGGTCCCTGGCATTAACTTCAGACCACAAAGACCTTTGCACGACCTCCATAACGTTTATAAATGCCACAACTTAAGAAATAAAGCGACAAAGTAAAAAAACTAATCCACCAGGGCAGACGGAGGAAAGTGTCTTAGTGCTAGATGGCTAGTTATAACACCACAGGATATAGGATCCCTGCATTAGGTAAAGGCATGGTTGCCATTTTTAGGAGCTTTGTAACTTAATGTTTTCTTTTTTTTTTTTAATTGATTTG